TCTTTACGGGAGTAGAAAGCCTCATCTTTCTCCCGCGGAGCAGCTGGTAGTTTCGAACTGCTGACCTTGTGGTTTACAGCCCGATTCGTAACCACTACGCTACCAGAGCTCCTTTATATATATATATTGGTTGTTAAGTCCTGTTAAGTTGATCTTGTACATACAGGATTTCTGAAGAGTGGCTGTAAATGGTGTCAGGAAAGTACTGCCTAAGCATGAACCACTGAGGGCAGTGTGGTAGAGCACATGGGGAACAAAATTATGAAAACTTCTTAAACATTACAAAATACCTTGAAGGAATGAGTTTCTGGGTCTGAGGGTTTAGGAATGTAGTCTTTGGGGACACCATGGTTAATTTACATAACATAGACCATAAACACAATGTTTCTACATCCTGCTTTTGTGAGTAGTGACTGAGATCTTGAAACACATGAGCAGCCATCTAAGGTGTAACTGTTGATCTCTCCCTGGGGGAAGGAAAGAAGAGTAATGGAAATTGAAGGTGCTTGAATTCAATTAGTCCAATAGACCAATGGAACATGTGAACATCAGTGATCACAACCCTGAGACCAAAAGAACTAGATAGTGTTCAGCTACCTACTGGTCTGGAAGGGATCACATTAGAATGTCATGGATCCAGTGGGAGAATATGTGGAACAAAATTCAAAAACATAAAAAAGATCAGGCTTACTGGTCAGGAAAAAGTTGGACGAACCCTAGACTCTGGCCCTCAGTCAACCTTCAGATCTGGAACTGAACTCATCCTCATGGTTTAGTGTTCAGTCAAGTAGTAGACAGGCAGATGGGGGGAGCAACACTAGTGAGGTATGCACACCAGGGAATGGTCAACCAGTCAAGAATGAAAGCACAGTATTTACCTAGGACAATATTCATTAGGGTTGGGAAAGAAGGTAGAATAACAACAGGAATCACAGGGAGGAAGTAGGATAAATGATGTTATATTGAGAGGATTACAATCATTGAAAGGAAATGAAATATATGATTTGTTGAATGTAAAATTGATGATCTGCTCTGTCAACTTTCACTCAATTAGCAATAATTTTTTTTAAGAAAAAGCCTAATGAACCACAAACATAAAGGGATAGACAAAAGATTTGTATTTTTGCTAAAGTTCCTAAATGTAATCTGTAATTGAACTGATCAGACTAGTAATCTTCCAACATTTATGGAAAAGTCTTGTTCTTTTCTGTTTAAAATACTGATTTGACTGACATCTGTTTCTAAAGCCAGCAAGGTTTTTAGCTGAGGAAACTTCTCAAAACAAACCAAAATAGCTAATAATTTATTTAAGGTCTTAACAAGACATTCTCCTTTTTAAAATCAACTTTGAAATTTAATTAATTTGATAATTAATGAGGCTGTAAGGGATTTAAAGCAAATTTACTGAAAATACTTTTTAAAAATTCAAAATGTGTTCTTAATAGCATTTTCCATCTTTATATTCTAGATAATATTTCAATGCATATCTCTTTATATTTTTTTAGAAACACTACAAAAGTAAGTTATTTACTTTGTGAAATAGTTAATTTTCATTAATACCCCCTCTACATCTTCCTTTGTAGGATTCAAATTTGACACGCGAAATCGTATTCCACAAATTTCCCAAAGAGATGAGCACCTTAACAGAAAAAATTTTGAAAGACTTATTAAGCAAAATTGAAAAAAAAAAAGGATAACTGTTTGCTAAACAAAAAGAGCCACTTGACAATGCATCACGCTGAGACATTTTAGAAAAATTCCCCATGTGCCTTAAAGACCAAGTCCCCTACAAACTTAAACAGCACATGGAAATGTCGTTTTATTCAACAGATCAATTTTCTAAAGTCATTACTTTGAAAATGAATGATCTTTCTCTTAGGGTACACTTCAGCACAATAATCTGTGTTTCCTAAAACAAAGATAACTATCTTCAAAATCGAGGGATTTGTAGATTGAGTAATAGTATCAACTAACAAATAAATCACTGTTTCGAAAATAAAAATTAAATACAACTAGAAATAAATAAGTTGAATACATACATATGAGAGATAAACAAAAAACTACATCATTCTTAAGATTACCATTTTTACCTAGGAAAAGAAAATAACACATGGTTTACAACATGTTTTACTGTCCTTCACCTAAAAAAAAAAAATCCTCTTCTTACAGTTTAAACCTAACTAATAAAAATCAGACAGATTCATTAGCAATTGTAATAGTGGTGGTTTCTATGCAGAGAGTTTGCATATTTATCTATAAAATATTTCATATCTTTTCATTCAAGCACAATTAAAAGAGTAAAGCTACATAACTAAAACGGGAATATGAGATAAAATAGAAATAAAACCTACCTTTAAAGAAACATATGAATAGGTAAAACCAGAGACACACACCAAAGTGAAGGGCTCCTTCCCCCTTGCTAGTCAGCATGATTGAAACCCACTTTGATTTATTTTACTAGGCAAAGGAGTGTGGAAAACAAAGAGCTATCAGACAGTTACACGCATCATGTGGACCTTAAATTATCAGAATCTTACTGCAATTCATCGGTGTCTTCTGAAATAAAAACAGTCACAAAACAAACATTGCTGTTCCAATAGCGAGACTGAGGCAGCCATAAAGGACAAGTGGAAAGGGACTCAATCTGATGTCAGATGAGTCATCACATCTCCTGTCACCGTAGATTTCTTTTCGTGCAAGAACAGTAAAGCAAAGCAGCAAGAGAATGAGAGGCAGGCAGGACTGAGGGAGGAGGGGAAATCATTACCATGTCTTCATAGATAGTTCTGTAACACAGTCTCCATCATAACCCTTAAAAGAATGCACACATTTACTGAGCATCAACTGTAGGTAAGACATATGTTGTTGCTGTTGCTGTGTGTGTTGAATTGATTGTGGACTCATAACAATACTATATAACAGAGTACAACACCCCATAGTGTTTCCTAGACTGCAACTTTATAGGAGCAGATAGCCAGGTCTTTTCTTCTGTGGAGCCACTTAGTGGCTTTAAACCACTGACCTTTCAGTTAGCAACTGAGCGCTTAGCTATTATATATACCACCAGAGTTTCCTCCATTCACTGCCATCGAGTCGGTTCCCAGTCACAGTGACCCTATAAAGTGTTCCTGAGACTGTCAATCTTTACAGCAACAGACAACCTAGCTTCATCTTTCTCTCACAGAACAGCTGGCGGGTTAGGTGAGGCATTATCAAAACCAAATCCACTGCCACTGAGTCAATTCCAACTCATAAAGACCTTGTATGAGATTTCCAAGACTATGAATCTTATGGGATCAGACAGTCTCATCTTTCTTCTGTGGAGTGGCTAGTGGGTTTGAATCATTGACCTGCGGTTAGCAGTCCAACACTGAGAGCACAGCACTAGCAGGGCTCCTTAGATGAGGCATAGTTGCTATTGTTGTCATGTGCCATTACGTCGATTCTGACCCATAGCAACCATGTATAGGGTTTCCCAGGAGTAGCTGGTGAGCTTGAACCGCCGACCTAGTGGTTCAAAGCAACTTTGAAGTCCAATGCATTAACCTACAGCACCACTCTAAGTCCCAAATAGTGTAAATCCTTTATTAATGAAGCCTTAGCCAGAAAATCCTTGTTTGAAAAAAAAAAAAAAAAACTTGCTAAAATAAGAGTTCATTTTTCTATCTTAGTTGGCACAGTGTATCGAGAACAGAATTAAGTTGTTTTTTGTTTACTCCAGAGTGTCCAATGTTTTTTCTTCCTGAGTGTCAGTGATCACTATCCAGGACAGGAGACTGAGATGTAGGAGAATGACAGGGATGGGTGCTGAACAAGGGTACCACCTGGGTATGTTTATGTTTGTTCAAATATCCTTTTCATCAGTTGCTTTTTTTGTAATTTTCCTCTTCTTTAAATTTAGTGTCAATAAGATTCTGATTGAGTAGGTCATCTGATCACATCTTGTTGCTAGTTTAAAAGAGTTAGACCCAAAGATGATGTTCTCAGCAGCTCTCCATTCAAAAATTTTATATCTAATAGTGTATTTGTGTCATGAATCAGAACATCTAAGTTTGTCCCTATTTTTCCATAGATGATCTTTATAATTCTAGCTTTTACATTTAGGTCTTTAATCCATGTTAAATTCATTTTGCATATGGTGTGAGATATGGGTCTTGCTTCATTCTGCTGCAAATGGAGCTCCAGTTTTACCAGCAACATTTGTTGAAGAGACCATCTCTTTAATATGTTTTGGCCTTTGTCAAATATCAACTGAGCATAGTTGGGTGGATTTACTTCTTGGTTCTCAAGTCTGTTTCATTGATCTATGTGTCTTGATTACTGTGGCTGTATAGTAGGTTTTAAGGAGCTCTGGTAGCATAGTGGTTATGAATCGGGTTTCTAACCTCAGGGTCAGCAGTTCAAAACTACCAGCTGTTCCATGGGAGAAAGTTGAGGCTTTCTGCTCCTGTAAAGATTTACAGCCTCAGAAACCCTGTACAGGGAGCTATGAGTCAGAACCGACTCCACGGCACATAACAACTAAAACATAGTAGATTTTGAGATTGGGAAATAAGAGGTCCCCTATTTTGTTCTTCTTTTTTAATAATGCTTTGTTTATCTGGGGTCTCCTTCTTTTCCATCTGAAGTTGGTGATTAGTGCTTCCATCTCTTTAAAGAATGTTGGTGGAACCTGGGTTAGGATTGTATTATATTTATAGATAGCTTTGGGATATTGTTGACATTTTCACAATGTTAAGTCTTCCTATCCACGAGCATGGCATATTCTTCCATTTTGTAAGTCTTTTGGGTTTCCTGTAGTAGTGTTTTGTAGTTTTCTTTGATCACCCAAACATTCTAAAGTACATTCTGTACAATTTGAAAATGTACAGAGTTCAAACAAACAACTTCCCTCAAAATTCTGTCCCCTTCATATCTTTTGAGGGAATGAAAGAAGAACTAACATTTACTTAGCATCAAACTTAGACCAGGAGGCAGGAGGCAGTGGTGGTTCGGTAGTAGACTTTTTAAAAGTTTTAAAAAAAATTTTTTAAGTTTTAAAACTATTTTTACAATGACAACTATTGCAATTAGTCATGGTAAACATTATTCACTATTGAATCATAAGAATCTTATCCCCATCTCCTTTCACCAGACCTGTCTAGACAGGATGCAAACTATTCAGTGGGGATTCTTCTACCTTTCCCTGCAAACTATGAAACTAAACTCCCTCTTGAAAACTTGTAAGCCAGCCACTTCGTGCCTTTATAGCCCCCCATTTTAGATAGTCAATGCCTTAGTTGCCCATGTCTATCAACCCTGTGTACAGGGGGAAGAGTTTTGATCCTTGATGTGAAGACTCCTTCCCTCTCAGTTGATATTTTGACCTACTACATCCATAAGTATAGGTCAAGTTCATCAAATTGTAGCAATTTATACTTGTTTCCTTTATCAAATTTATTTTTCTTCCTCTCTTCAAGTTCTGATCACCAAGCCATCGAGGCTACGTCAAATGGGTACTATCTGCAAGTATGGGTGTTCTTGTGCATCTCCCCTCACTTCATATCAGCTGGACACTTCACTCTCCATTCTAGCCCTCCATGGCTATAGACCAAACATTTTAGATATTAAAGATGCACTCAACTTCTCTCCTGAGCAGATGAGCTTTTGTCCTGTGCTGATGTACTTTATGGTGTTTGAAGAGAACCTGGTGGTGGTGGTGGTTATGTGTCGTGGAGTCGGTTCTGACTCATAGTGACCCTGTATAGGGTTTCGGAGGCTGTAAATCTTTATGGGAGCAGAAAGCCTCATCTTTCTCCTATGGAATGGCTGGTAGTTTCAAACTGCTGACCTTGAGACTAGCAGCCCAACTTGTAACCACTATGCTACCAGAGCTCCTTGGAGAGAACCTAGGGTAATATAAAATAAAAAGATCTGGACAATACTGGAATACCTAACAAGTTAAATACTGCCTCTTAACCCCAAAGGGGTTAATGATTTCCTAGTTTTTAAGACTGATGGAAACCCCTAGACTATGACCTTTAAACACCCTTCAAACCTGGAACTGAGCTCATCCCTGGGGATCAACTTTCAGCCAAAGAATAAATAGACCTACAAAGTGAATAATAAGACCAGCGAAGAATATACTCCTCAGTACAGTCAACCATAGGAGACCAAAAGGGCAGCATTTGACTAAAAACAAAGCTCAACAGACAGGAAAGGGCAGGAAAGGATCAATGGAAACAAGAAACCCAGGGAGGAAGTAGGAAGAGTGTTATTACATTGAGAGGATTGCAACTAATCTCATGAAACAAAGTATGTTTAAATGTTAAATGGAAAACTAATCTGCTTTATAAACTTTCACCTAAAGTACAACTGGAAAAAAAAAAAGGAAACGTCACCAAAGTGAGCACAGCTTTACCAAATTAAAGGATGACAGTAAGAAATATGCATGAATAAGGAACATTATTGGTAAATACTATAGCAATAATGAGTCCTGGTGTGGCACTGTGGGTTAATGCGCTGGACTGCAAGGTAGGTTTGAACCTTGTGTTTGGAAGCGACTCAATGGCACTTAACATAGCAATAAAAGTAACAACAACATAGCAATAAAAGTAACAACCAAAAAACATATGAGTGGTTATATACATGTGTGTGTATATATGTGTATAGGAAGGTTCTGTTGTTTATCCCCTTTAATTCAAACAGATCAGCCCTTTCCAAATTGAATTGATGCTTATCCTTAAAATGCCTCATTTGGGTCAGTGGTTCCTACAGTTCATTTTTTTTCTGGTGTGGTGCTGTAGGAAAGTACTGGACTGCTAACCACATGGTCAGTGGTTCAAACCTGACAGCTGCTCCTTGAAAATCCTATATAGGGTTACTATGAGTTGGAATTGACTCAATAGCAACGAACAATAACAACAATATATCTTTAGGAATATCTATATATATGTGAGTGCTGCACATAGTCTCATACTATAAAAAAAAAAAAATCTAGGGGACACAGATACCTCCCAAGCATAACCAAATACCTCACGGTATTGGTTTATTGGGTTTGAAGGCATAGGACATCTTGACCAATTGGCACAACATAGTCTATAAGGTTTGTGTTCTACATCCTTGTTTGGTAAGTAACAACTGGGGTCTTAAGCTGTGAGTAACCATCTAAGATGCAACTATTGGTCTCTACTTGTCTGGAGCTGAAAGAAAGACGAAACCAGTCTACAGAACCAATGGCCTACCAAATGCCTCACCTATCTAGAGACCAGAAGAACTACATGGTGCCTGGCTACCACTCCTGGCTAGAGTGGGAGAAAACTGGAGAACAAAACTTAAAATCTTAAAAAAAAAAAAAAAGGCAGACTTACTAGACTGAGATAACTTTTGAACTTTTAAGTTAAATTACTCTTGGAGGACAGCATTCAACTAAATAACAGATTTGCTCATAC